ACACTTTCATTAATGCCATTGCAAGGAAATAAGATAAGGAAACTATGTAAACCAAAACTTCATTTTATTGCTAAAAAGAAAATTGGAACTTGTCCTTACAATGCATAAAATGAAAAACTATATTTCTAGACATTTCTGAAGAGTGATAGTAATCTATTAAATTATCCTAACTCCCTAGTAGTAGCTCCAAATTCTAACCATCGAACCATGTGACTAAAGTCCATTTCCCACGATCAGATTTAGCTCATTTCACTTAAGCTTCCTTCTTCCTTTTAGATCCTGCAATACCATCCAAATGTGATCATCACATTATGTATTAAGAGTCTAAGAATAGGAACTTACAAAGCAATGATCATCACATTATGTATTAAGAGTCTAACAATAGGAACTTACAAAGCAATGGAGTTAGATAATGGATGTACCTAAAGTAGAGTCATACGAATTGGCATTACCATATCTGAGATCCTTCAGGTACTTTGGGTAGCTATGCAACCAGTGTCCCTTCAATTGGCAGTAGAAACAAATGGAATCTTTAGGTTTAACACATGGAACAATCCCAGAACAATCCTTTCTCTTAACCATACGATCAAATTGTTTGACCTTAGACGACCCTTTTCCACTTGTAAGAGAAATATTTTCTTGATCACCAATGTCACCATTGCCAATGTCCATGGAAACCTTCGAATTAGACCCTATAAGCATATCTGCTTCAGATGTGTTCTTAAGCAATTCTGCCTCAATAACCACCAAAATTTGGGTCAGATCTATTCGGGTCACATCAAGATTCCTCATATAAAAGTTCTCAATGAACTGACCATACGACTTAGGAAGCGAGATAAGAACCAAATCAATGGCTTGCTCCCTTAGAAATACGATACCCATCCTATCCAATTTTCAATATACGACTTCATTTTCAGAACGTCCGCACACACATAATTTCCATCTTCATGTTTACATGCCAAAAGGGCTTGAGTTGTTTCATATCTTTCAACTCGTGACATTGGAAGAGTCAGGAGGAGGAGGAGGTGGAAGAGTTGAAGAGAGACGATGTGTAGTTCTACCATTTCCTAAGGAAGGGAATACATTTTCACCTTGGCTTGAAAGTGGAAGACCATCTCCAAAAGACTGACGAAAACTATTTCCATAAGAACGAGGAAGACCATTATTATCTTGACTTGACATCTAATATTTGGGAGAAGAGAGAATTCAGGTTAGTTGATTTTAATCCTTAATTATTAACCCATAATTAAATTAAGGCTAGGATCCATATTTTCGATTCGACCTTTGAAGAGGGATGGCGTAATCAAATTCGAATGTATTTTAGGTAGGTAGAGTCATCTCACCAATTTCAATCACATGAAACTCCTAGATCTATTGATATTCATTGAATCTTATCAATGACATGTTTAATATCGATTATGCTCTTACCAATTGTGACTGGGATGCCAAGGATCACAATTAAGATGTAAATAACCATGCATACCCGCGCAAACACCAACAATCGATTTATGATCTCGCATTAATGTCTCGGTTAACCGTACACGCTCCATCAACAATCATAAACATGAGTTGTTTCACTATTTCACCTTTATAATACCAAATTAGTGTGCCGGTTAACCACACACGCTCCACTAACGAATCATAAGGAAACAATGTGCGTTTTCATGGAATAGCATACAATTTTACATTTTTCCTAAAGTAACTAGAGTGGGATTTATAAAAGGTTTAGTTACTTTATATTATCATACTTTTAATAGGTTATGTCCTAGCAAATCTGTTCCGCTAAAGACCATCCACCATACAAGGGAGCCGTGGGTGAGAGTGGACACCCATTTAACGGTCATTTTATAGGCCGCTTCCTTATACCCCCTTTAGAGTATCGCTTCGTGAATGAGGCGTACTAGCGATTTGACCGACTTATATTATACATATAATATATTAAACTTTTAATCATATATATCGTATAAGGTGTATTTTAAACTTTTTTTTAAATACGAGTGTTTAAAATTAATTTTTTCAATTAAACAATTAATAATAATTAATTTTAAACTAAACAATGATTTAATATTTTATCTTAATTAAACAATTAATTAAATAATTTCAAATCATATTATTTACCAATTAAACAATTAATTAAATAATTTAATCTCATGGACTAAATAATTATTTACCAATTAAACAATTAATTTAAATCATTCAAATTTAATCCTAAGCCCTTATACTTCTTTTGATCAATTCATTTTAGTGCACAATCAAATAGAAAACCTATGGCTCTGATACCACTGATGAGTTTTTCTAGGTTATATACAAAAAATTACATGTGGCGGAAAAACACTTAAACCCTTAAGTTCACATGCAACCTAGAAAGAATCTATGTTTTCTCTATTGATAGCAACTAACTATGAATATCAAGAAAACCCTGGGAGAGAGGCTATGAAATCGAAATTCATACATAAAATTAGGGTTACATACCTTTTGATTATTACTATAAATAATCAAAGTAGAATCCTTCTTCTAGATCTTGGAAAGCTAGCACCAAAGGAATTGATGCCTCTAATGGCGTGTACCCAAAACTCTAGTAGCAAGAATACTTGAGGAGAGAGGAGACTAGATCATGAATTCGGCTCTATGAAAGCAAGTAAAGGTGTGTATAAAATATGACATCCATGGTGTCCTATTTAAACTTGCTTAAGGAAACTCTCATGGAAACTAAAGAGTCATTTGAATGATTAATTCTAATTAACCTTAGAATTAAATCTGAATCAATTCTAATTAATCAATTAATCATAACTATTTCCAATTAATATATTAATCATATTATATGTTAATAAATCATATATTTTAATTTCTAATTAGTTTTCTTATTCATATAATAAACTAACAAATTATCCTTTATCTCCAACTGTCATTCTAATTAGTTACTAGTTTTTGCTTCTAATTCAAGAATATACCAATTTAGTTTTTGGCTTAGAAACCTTAATCCAACATTACCTTCATCGGAGATAGCATGCAATGAGCTCTATCGATGAATTCAGTTATGTTGTTGGATTAGATGTCTACGCCCATAACTATAATTGGTATATACTTGAATTGATAGTAGCACAATCCTTTTGGGTTGCACTAATAAATAACAACTAGACAGGATGACTTTTGGAGAGAGATTGAATATGTTATTTGAATAATAAATTGAGATAATTGATTTATTAATGTATTATGAAAATAATATATTAATTAGAAATCATATTATTTAATTAATAGTTAATCAAAAATTAAATGGAATTAATTTTGAGATTAATTGTATTAATTAAAAGTTCAGGGGTTGTTTGACAATTTATTGATAGTTGAGGAAACGGGCTCTAAAACCTCCTTAAAAGAGGTTGGACGAAAATCTCTAGGAAAGCCCTAGAATTTTCGTCAAAAGGCTCTTGGATGGAAGTTTATGGGCTGCTTGATACTTAAGCTAAGAAATTAAAGTTTCCTCCTAAACGAGTAACATAGCATTAACCATGTCCATTTAACAAGGCCTAAACGAGTAACATAGCATTAACCATGTCCATTTACCAAAGGGCCAATGGCCTAGCGGTATGGAGTGACCATCTCATATGAGAGGTTAGAGGTTCAAGTCTCGGTGGAGACATAGATGGTTATTTAAGAGTAGATTAGTTAGTTTGACGTTTAAAAAAAAAACCATGTCCATTTAATAAGGCCTAAAGCTTACTCCATAGGAACCTTATGGTCATGTTAGTTCATAGTTGTATACCAAAAAGACCGAAAACAAAACATTTTCACCAATTGAAACACACAAATCGAGGCATAAAACAGATCAAATAATCAAATAAGTTACTCATTACATCATTTAACAAACCACAAAATTACCCAAGTAACTACATATAAAACACCAAGTCCTTTTTTCAAACTCTATATCAAATAAAACAAATAATCGATTAGCCTCATGCTCATGATGAGTAAAGTAACCCCCACCCTTCATCTCCCCTCCGATTTCACCAACTGTGAGAAAACCTTACTCATCGACACCCCAGAAATATCATCCCCGCTCGACATCTCAAACTGAGCCGCCCCATCACCGTCACCATCACTGCCACGATTAAAGTCATGAATCACCGGCGACAACTCTCCGATCACATTCGTACTATTCTCATCCGGATCATTCTGAAGAACCGCTTCTTGAAGTTGAAGCACATATTCAAGATTCCACAAAACATCACCCATGGAAGGCCTATCAACCCCAAAATCAGACAAACATTTCTCAGCCGTTTCACCAAATTTCCTCAAAGAATCCGCCCGAATCTTCCCTTTCAAAGTCACATCAATTATCTGTTCAAGCTGCCCTTTCTTCTGCCATTTCATTGCCCATTCAGCCAAATTCACCATCTCACGGGGCAAAGACGGGTCAATCACGGGTCGAGCACACAACACCTCAAATAGAACAACTCCAAACGAGTAAACATCTGACTTTTCAGTCAACTGTTGACGCCTAAAGTACTCCGGGTCAAGGTAACCAAAACTACCTTTGACCGCAGTACTTACATGGGTCTGGTCGATTTCGGGCCCCGTTTTCGAGAGCCCGAAATCGGCCACTTTCGCCATTAGATTTTCATCTAACAAAATATTGGCTGACTTCACATCACGATGTATCACTGCCTTCGAATAACCCGTATGTAAATAATGTAACCCTCGGGCCGCCCCGATGCAGATTTCAAGACGTTGCTTCCAGCTCATGCTTGGAAAACCTGACCCGTATAGATGACTTTTTAAAGTCCCGTTTTCCATGTATTCATAAATAAGAATCATTTCGGATTTTTCATCACAGTATCCAATTAGGGAAACTAAATGGCGATGTCTGAATTGTGAAAGCATTTCGATTTCTGTTTGGAATTCGGCTAAACCTTGTTGGGATTTTGGGTTTCCTCTTTTCACAGCTACTTTTGTTCCATCGCTTAAAACACCTTTGTAGACTTTACCAAATCCACCGATTCCGATCACCCAGCTTTCGTCAAAATTGTTGGTGGCTTCTTGAATTGCTGCGAATGGACACCTGTAATTGAAGTTTGAGCCAGCACTAATGGTTGTTCCATTGGAGTATTTGCTGCCCATTGTTTGGGAAATCCCGTTGGTTGATAATGGAATCCAGATCTTTGATTGGTTGAGTTGTTCTTGTTTTCGTTTTTTGTAAACACAGAAGAAAACGATACCTGCTAAAAGTGCTACAAGAACTCCGACGACTACACCGATGATCAGACCGATGTTCTTTTTAGAGCTAGAATTGGAGGACGGGATGTTTCCACCGGAAAGACTACCGTCGGAATTACTCAACTTCATAATCTCGACGCCGTTCAGTATAGCGTTAGGGTAAACGTCTTTGATGGTGGAAGGGCCGATGCTGATGCGAATTTGGTTTTTGTTAAGCGATTGGGTTACGAAATCGGAGTAAGACGCCATGGCTAAGTTTCCGCCGAACTTGGTGGAGAGATCGTAATCGGGTAGAACATTGGAGTCGTCGATGTAGACGTTGAAGTAGAGTGTATTGGCAGAAGTACTTACGATATCGCAAAAATGGAGGCGGACGAGATACTGGAATCCACGATCCACCGGGAACTCCCAGGTGACGTTGAAATTGGCTTTTGGGTCGCTTTCAGATGCCATCGTTGCGGCGGTTCCATAGACGCTGATCGGAGCATCGTCTTGAGTAGCGCCGGCGGCTGGGTATCTAACAGCGGTGGGATTTGAAGCATTCGATTCAAAATTCCGGTTCTTTGAATAGCTCAGATCAGTAACCCAAGACCTCCACAATGAATCATTCCGGGATGTGACCACCGGACCACCCATGTTCACCCTAGCAAGCGTCTCCAGCGCCTTATTCAACATCCCTTTGAAGTTTGTCGGAGGGTTGACGGACATTGCATCATCGGGGATCAACGGATCTGGAACCGAAACAACTTCTAAACCATTCAAGAAAGCAAATGAACTCCCGGTAGGTGTAAAGGTGATTTCAAGGTCGCCGGAGGTGACATTTACTGAATATTCTTTGGTCTGAACACCTTCGGCTTTGAAATCGCTCAACAGAGAGTGATCTGGAGTTGAAACGGAGAAAACTGCGGTGGTTAGATTGTAATTACTGGCGGAGAATGGGAAGAAATAGAGACGGATCCAGTGACGACCGCTTTGAGTGATTCGAAAAGTGTATGTAGATGTTTGTGTAAAGATTCTTGCTGTTTTATACAGCGGAGAGTATTCAGATGAAGGAATTGAATTTGCAGAAGTATCAACCAAAACATTTTGTGGGGTTGAAAGAAAACTCGAAGCCAAACTATCAGATAAAAAGACCCGATTGCCGATGGTGGTGTTGCTCGGAGATCCACAATCAATCGAATACTTATCCGCCGGATTAAACTGAGAGTAACAAGAAGATAAACACAACAAGAACACAACCCCGATAAACAGTAGCTTCAACCCCACAAAACCCATCATAATAATTCGATTTCAGATGGGGGTTTTCACAATAATCGATAAAAACAAAAGGGGTTTGCTTCGATAATTAGAAATCTAGGGTTCTTGAACCCAGATCAGTAGCAATTATGAGATCTACTATCCAATACCCATATAAGATTGAAAGAAAATGAAACACCTGACAGATCAAGAACAGCAGATTTGACGAATTAACCAGATGTTAATTGATGCGCTGTGGAGAACAGAGAAGATATTGGGATTAATCAAAGCATAAATCTAGCGAGGAGCCAGCCAGGCCGGTATGAACAGGACGGCAAGCATCAGATGGTGACAGATTGATAGATTCGTTCGGGTTAACGAAAACGATTAATAAAATAATATGGAAAATCAGCTGTGTATTGATAGGATGAAATTTGGGGTCAAAGGGAAATGGTAAGAAAGTTTTGTTTTTTTCCTTTTTTTTCAAAAGGATGATGGAGATTGTTCTTGTTGGTGATGAGTAGTGGATGAAGATGAGTGTAAAGAGAATCGGAGAAGAAAAAAGATAAAATAGACAACCTCGGTAGAAGCCTGCAATGGCGGAATTAGACCAAAGGAAATGTTTTACTTAGTCACCTTTAACTTTCTAATTGCTCTATATAGGCCCCTTACACTTTTCTTAATTCAAATAAGGTCCACGAAAGCTGTTATTCGCTATAAAGTTTGGCCTTTTGTCCCGATTCTTATTCTAGCGTCGTTTGTTTCCGCATTGATTAGGGTTGTCCACCTTTTTTAAAACAATTAATATGAAACATAGAAATATAGATCGATTAAAAGAGTTGTTAAGTTTTATCGTTAGAAAAAACACATATACAGTATAAAATTTGTAGAAATAAAAAAAAATATAATACGGGTTGACATTCAATATATTAAATTCATTCGTAATAATGTATTACATCAACATGCTTAATGTATATGAAGTTCAAATTGTTCGGTAGATAATTTTTTTTTAATATAAAGTAGTAATTAATAGATGCATGATTTGAAGAAATATAAGTTTTACATGCCTTGTGAGGGAAAAATATATAATTAAAAGAGTTTAATAATAATGCGACAATCTATTTATAAATTAAAAATTCAATACATTCTAAGATAATAGTAAGTATTTTTATGTCGGTCCTTAAAGTTATCTTTTTATACAAACTTAAATTAAAAATTCAATACATTCTAAGATAATAGTAAGTATTTTTATGTCGGTCCTTAAAGTTATCTTTTTATACAAACTATCCATATATTTGTACAAAATATAACTGCAAGGACAATCTAGATAAAAAAAATCATATCTATATTAAGATTTCAATCAAATCAAAACCAATATTAGATTCTTGTTTACTTGAATTTAAAGATATTTAGTTAATGTATGCACGATTAAATGTAGATTATGTGAATATATCTTTTTACTCTATAGTTGCATATTAATGAATTAGCTATCTTTTGGTCGATGTGGTTTATAAAAAACTAGGTGTGAAACTCGTGTACTACACGAGTTTATTAAAAATAAAAAGTTTAATATTAATATGTAAACATTTAACATTTTATAAAGTAATTGAAAAAAGAAAGTAAATCGATGATTTGTAACATTTATGTGAATTTATTCTCAAATTAATAAAATTATAATCTTACATGAACATAATGATAATTTTCCATATATATAACCATAAATTCTGAAAATTTAATGTATGAATGAAAAACCTCAAAAAATAACAAGTGGAAAATAAAAAAAACAAAAAAAAGTCATATGGCGATATCAAAGAGAAGAATATCGTGTGACAAAAAAACATTCATTTATTAGAAATGATTTGTCATATAATTTGACAATACTTATTCTACAAATTTTTACATTGAGATATTTATTCAAATAATCCCTACCAAAAGAAATTTTCTACAAAAATAGTCCCTTGAACTTATAAAATAGTCTCTGTTTTACATTGAGAAAGAAGCGTCAGTAAACTTTTTGACGGACCCGCAGGATGGAAGGTACACACTTAGACCGGATGACATTTTGGTCTTTGGATGGATAGAAGGGAAGCATGTGTGCGTGGATCTTACTGGGGTCTCTCCTCTCGTTGGTTTGAGGAACGGGGGTTTCACAGCAGGGCATGCCGCTTTGAAAGCCGTTGCGTGCAAAGTGGTAAAGCACGAGAATGCATGTATAGAAAATCAACATGTGTTTGTACCTTTTGCATTCGATACATTTGGTTTGCTCGCACCAGAGGCGGTGGAGCTCTTCAACAGAGTCCAACGGGTCATGCATTCTAATGTCATATCTCCTAGATCCACAGATGTTGTTTTCAAAAGAATTGGTTTTGGCATCCAAAAAGGGCTAACGGCGCAGCTTGTTGCCCATTTGCCTTCAATCGATATGTATTGAACTATTTTAATCGAATTCAATATATATATTTCACAAGTTTGTAAAGATTGAAAAAAAAAATTCAAAAGAAAGTTGCATAAATGATCCTGAAAACAAATTACACTTTTAATTTATAAAATAGGTCCATATGTTGAATTCTTTCTACATGAATGATCTCTATGTTTCAGAAAAACTACATAAATGGTCCCTTCTTAATAACGAATTTTAAATCGGGTTCCTATTTTTCATAAAATTTAAATAGCATCCCTGTATGGTCACCATATATCACAAAACTATAGAAATGTTTCCTACTTTTCACAAAATTATAAAAATAATCCTTTTTAAAAAGTAAAATAACATAAATTAACCATATGTATCACAAAACTAGAGAAATGGTCACTAAATATTAACAAAATTGCAGAAATATTCCTTATCTAAGAGAACAATTAGGAATTTTTGTATGGAAATTTAAGATTAATAAATATGGTGCAACACGTAAGCCACCCCACTGATTTTAGTCTCTATTTGAGACATTAGTTGAAAAAAGTTAGCAGTTGATTGTAAAGTTGATTACCAGCTGAAAACTATCCCATGACAGAAAATCTAGGTGTTGGTTAATAAAGTAACTAAGTTGATTACCAGCTGAAAACTATCCCATGACAGAAAATCTAGGTGTTAGTTAATAAAGTAACTGATAAAATTGAAGGTTAGTAAAAAGTAGTTGATAAACCCTATTCTATTTATCTCATTACTCATTGTTAAGACTACAATGTGTGGACAAAATGTTAATTCATGCTATCACACTAAAACGTTGTCACCTCTCATGTCATGTTAGTCATGATGTTATAACACGAATTAAGAAAATGGGCAACACGTTATAACATCCATTAATTTCTATGTCATTATTTTTTTTCGATTTCTTTTTTTATGTTATAATATTTATAAAAACAAATATAAATAAATAAAGCATGTTATTTAATTAAATCCTAAATTAAACATAACATTTAAAAACAAAAAATAACATAACACAAAAAATAACATTGAACATAAAAAATACGATGGTCCTAATTTAAAAACATAAAACGATAGTCATAGTCCAAATATCTCATGTGGATCTTCTCCTTCATCGCATGAAGCACTCCCAAGTCTCGTGACGACAAATCTTCCTCGTTGATCCGAAGAACTGTCAAGTCATTCATCATTTGATCTTCCTATGCTTGACGACGAAGGAATTTCAAGTGTTGGCGTTGTACTTCGACTCCTTCTTTTGCTATTAAATTGTGTGCGTCGAAATTCTCTTTCATTTCCGCCAACTCTTGTGCAATTCTTTCAGCTTCATGCACATGTCGTTGAGCGTGCTTCGCTTTATCGCGTCTGATCGGTCGTCGTGGGGGAGATCTCTTCGATGCCGTCTGAGATCTCATCAGTGTCGGCGTTGAGGTCGATGTTAGTTTGTGTGTCGAAATGTGAAACAAACTTGAATTGTATAACGTCCCATTTTCACAACCAAAATTTTCATTTTTATTAAGGTAAAACTTTCCAATTTATAAATCCATTATTAAGAAAACCATTTATTCCAAATTATATTTATTAAAAACCAGAGTATCATAGAAAATGCTAAATCCTCAATGTTGTTGATGAGTGTGTAGAGTCCTGCATTCGCCTTCCCATGGCCACCGATGATACCTGAAATAATAAACAACTGAGTAAACATAAAGTTTAGTGAGTTTCCTCCAAAATACCCCATACGAATAATCATACAAGCGTGCATAACGGCCACTCTCCGGGCCTTCGGCTTGACTAGACCGCCTCGCAGGCTTTCAGTCTATCCGGACCAGAATACCAGGGTTTGTTGGCCTACCACCTCAACCCAACCGCTCCTCCTAAGCCTCCGTGCATACGGCTTACAGCCAGCCCACACTGGGTATCTTGGCCTACAGTACAAAGTAGGGCCGCCTCAACCCAAACCAAACACAACATGTCGACATATAAACACTCAGGATCAAGTACGCACATAATACAGGCAAACATCAATCATACAGCCAGGGACGGATCTTATACAGGGCCAGGAGGGGCTGTGCTCCCCCCCTATTTTTTATAATTAGTCCATAACGATTAAAAAATTTACATATTTGGCCTAAAACTATAAATTTTGACTTTGGCCCCCCTATTCTCTAATTTTTATACATATTCTATTTTCGCCCCCCCCCCCTAGATGAAAACTTCAAGCTCCGTCACTGCATACAGCTCACTACCGCCTACTGGT